GAAAAACAATTTTGCATGTTTAATAAAAAGGCGGAGTCGTGGCGGAGTCAGGCTCGTCGCTCGTCCATGGCGGCCAGGAGGAACTGTTGACTGATTTCTGTTCGACATGTGCACGTACACACACACATCACACACACACTCATCACACACACAAAGACAGCTCCACAGTTGTCAAACTGATTCACTTCGTTTTTTTTTTTCACTGAGGCAACATGCAACAGTTGCAAACAGCATTTGACGAGTCAGTGAAGAGCCAAGCGAATGGCAAAGAACTTAATATGTGCCTGCAAAGTGCATGTCCTGAATTATTGCTTTTCGGTGGCTTATTGCTTTTCAGCTGAAAACCCTTCGGTCCACCTGTAATATTGAAAATCTGTGTAGCTGCCAAGCTTTTTAATTAACCTACGCAAGACGAACGTCAGCCTTTTACCTTTTGGACAGCCAACGCTGGTAACTATAATGAGATATGCCTTTTGCACTGAGGGGCAGCACAAAGTGCGTAACATTTTAATGCTAAATGAAGTCTACCTGAATACAAAAGGCAACCAGTGCCTATCTGAGTTTATTATATTTTTCATTTAATTTCTTCGTCTTTGTTTTGTGTGTACTTTGAGTTTTCACAACTATCAGATGCACAAGTTCTATGCCAGGAGCAACTAGCTTGCTACAAATCCAATCAAAGATACAGCATAATGCAAAAAAGAAGTGAAACTTTGCGTCTTTGATCAGCCGCTCAAAGGTTAGCTCAACTGCAACGGGCAGCAAAGGGAAAAGCAACACGGATGCTTTTTATAAAGCAATTTGCATGTTGACGTCCCTTTTCATCTGCTGTTTTTCTAGATTGTTGCCCTGGCTAAGGAATCGCCAATGAGTTTCCAAGTGGCGTGTCCTGCGGCCACGTACAGCATTGTGTGTGTGGCTGTGGTCTTGGATAACTGGCTCAACTGTGGAACTGAGTTCCGGCCAAATCCTGAAACATAAATCCGTGTGAGGTGTTTGCTCGCTGCCCGGCCAAAGGCTGCATACAAAGTCCATGGAACATAAAACGCACATAAACAAATGCATGCAGACATAAAACACGAAAGCACGCACAGAATCTGCCAGCGCACACACACCCACGCACATGTGGCGACGACCGCTCATCGAGGAACGTAAAAAAATGTAGGCACTGATTACATTTGCATATTATAAGCAACCACTTGCACACTCCCCATATTGATGAGGTTGCAGCGCCGCAAGGGCTGGGCAAGGCGATCAGGTCCTGCCGCAACTAGTGAGTCAGCTGCAGCTCCTGGCATACTTGCGCGCGTCTAACTGTGTGTATGTGTGTGTTTGTTGTTTCCATGTGTGTGCGTGTGTATTTGTCCAAGGAATTTAATTTCCAACTTTTACGTTTGGCATGTGCCACACACAACTTTGGTAGTGGCAAAGTTTGCTCCAGCGACGCAGGCTGTGTTGATCTAATAATATGGGCATGGGTCGTGTGTGGGCGTGGCTAGCGTAGTATTTGCGGCACTTGTTGAAGCGTAGCTGCAACCTCAGTCGGGGATTATGCAGCTGCTAAAACTTTAAATTATGTAATTCAACGTGTTGCCAATACATACCGTTCCGGGCAACAGGCAGCCAACGCAACCCACATGTGCACAGCCCACATGCACATCAGAGCGCACACACTCACACACTCTCACACACACACTCACACATTGGCCAAGTAACCGAAACTTTAGCCGTAGCTCGAGAACGGATAAATGCCTCGCCCCACCTGGGGCCCACGTATTTCAATTAACGTGCCAGCACGACCGAGTTGCACGTTATCAGCGCTAGGTGGCGCCCTTGGTGGTCCTCAGCCTGCTTTGCTACTTGTTTGATGATACGCCATAAATATTCCAAAATAACAGTAATGTGAACAGGGCGCAGCTACACACTGCAACACAGTCGAGGTCGGCACATGTCCAAGTATAAATTATATTGCGGATAACCGATTAGCAAGCCAAAAGCTGTATTTAAATGCCATCGACGATAATTTATCCTTTAATTAAGAAATTCAAGCACAGAGCTGAAATTGGTAGTTTATAAAATCATTGAAAAAGCGGATAAATACGAAATGGGCACTGACAATATTGAGCAGCATAAATAACTCATAGAGGAAGAATCTATAACGTATAAATGGGTAAGATGTGGCCTTTGTTATCTTAACTAAGTAACATGAACCTATGAAAGAAAGGTCTAGTATGTATGCATATATATATATTTATATATATATATATATATATATATATATATATATATATATATATATATATATATATATATATATATATATATATATATATATATATATATATATATATATATATATATATATATATATATATATATATATATATATATATATATATATATTATGTATATATAAATTATATATTATATAATGTGATTTACCATAAACGACTATTATGAACCATTCTAATCTCCTTTTGCAGCTAAAAAGTAAATATTTAAAATGTTTTCTTTTTGTTTTCAATTGTGCTCCATTTCATGATTGATGCAATTAAGCAGCATATTAAAGTGACTGTAACTAAAAATGTGATATGTAACTTTAGTATATGCCCGCGACTGTGCAAATACAAGAACTTTTCTACATGGCCAAACTTTATCTCGCGTTTTTTAGAGTGAACAACTTTACTCGCGAAACTTTCTGTTTGTCTTCATATGGTGAGCAATTAAGGTGTGTTGGTGTGAGTATGTTGCATGGCAGTATGCCCACACACACATATACACACACACACATACACACTCAGGCAGCCATATATATCCAGCTCACACACACACGTCCTTCCGCTCAGTTGGAGAAATAAAAAATGTATTTTTTACCTTGCAGGCAGCTTTAAATAAGAGAAATCGTTTTTTAAACACGATTTCATCTAAATTGCAATGAGTGCTAAAATAATTTATAAGCGCACCAAATGCGTTACATCGCACACAAATCACATTTCGCGGCTGGGGCTCTGTCGACAATTCAACAATTCGCCGCGATTCGTTTGATAAATATTTTTGTAGATGTTTTAGCTGCGTGCCGCTCTTATCTCTGCATTTATTTATTTTTAAATGCCAACCGAACTGCACACAGGCGAAGCAACAAAAGTTATTAAACAACGATTATTTCAACTAGCTGCAATTCGGTCTTCGTTTCGCAATCAAATGAAAAGCAATGAAAAACGTTTCACATGGAAGGCCAATCACTTCACTGGCATAAATTAACTACATATATTGAGGAAGATATGCATGAATGGACAAACAAATAGACTCGTTAGCACACAGCGCTCGATATCACTTACATCCTTTAAGCATAAACAGCCACAGACGGGCAGCGTCTTAGCTGCTCTCTTTTCCATATTTTTACAACGGCTTGAAAAGAAGATTTACTTGATTCGCTGCTGCTGGGGGCGCCATTTGTGTGCCCAGGGAAAACGCAAAGCGCGACTGCTAAGCAAACAGCGTGTAGCACACACGTTAAGTTAAGCTTATTCCACACACAACTGCCAAAGGCAGACTTAGACGTGGGCCAAATAGGCAGCGCGGAGTGAAACTAAGCACACTCTTTTCAGCGAGTCTGTGTGTGTATGTCTACCCTGTATGTGTGTGTGTGTGTGATATCATTGGATTACCGCGATTATCTTTCTCGAATATCACATGGCACGAAAGCCAACAATGTCTACATTTTGCTATTACAGTATATTACAACATATATGTGCGTACATTTGCCATGTGATTGGTGTTGTGGGGGCGTGGCCGGGCTGCATGCCGCACATAAACGTGCAGGTGGTCGGACGCGTGCGTTTTTGCGGTTGCCCAATCGGCTGGGCAGAGACTCTGCAGTCAGCGCGGCGTCTATGCCGCCGTCGCTGGCTATTTGCTTTTATGGCTTGTTTGCCAGCTCATGAAAACTTTGGTCCGCATGCCCAAGTGACCCATTAAACAAATTGAAAATGAACAGAAACCGTTTCAGCAGCTGGACTTTGGGCCCGCCATAGTTCTTCGTATGTGTAATAAATTTTAATTGACTGCACTGCATTGCAGCAGTCGTATTGTTAGCGTTCCAAAGATTTCATTGCATTCAATCACGAGTCAGAAATCTCAAGTTTTCAAAATATTGTGCTCAGTGGCTGAGGCAAGTTCTCGCCCTTTTGGCCAAACCAAAAACTTTGCTCATAAACACAAGTGTGCCAAACTCGTGCCGGCAATAACAGCTACGCAGCTACAGCAACATGGCTATGGTCGTTAGTCCTTTTGCCAGCGCTGCGTATACGTAATATGCAGTTAACTGGACAATTTTATAAAGCTGCGCTCGACGGCGCAGGTGCAAAAGTAAATTATGGTCGCACTTAATGTTAATTAAATTCATATTTTTGCCATAGAATTGTATATTGTTTCACTAAGTAGTTATTATACTTATAGCGGCTTCCGCCTGCCCACTCGGGCACTAAACGGACCTCTGCCAAAGCATTGTGCAAGCCAAAGCAATATTAATAATTTTATTAGCAATGCATTTCGGATGTGCACAGCGTAAAGCATTTGCAACTCAAGTTCTTGACTTCGTGTAATTTGTGGCTGGCCAGTGCACAACTAAGGCACAGCCACAGCAGCTGAACTACACAACATAATTTGAGTAAAATCTGAAAATTAAAGCCTTTTAATTACAGCTAAATCTAGGCAGTTCGAGCAAAACTAAATTTACACACACACACACAGAGGCATGTTTATTTACACAACTACAGCCATGAGTTGATTATTTATATTTGGCACTTGTTTGCATAAATTTAACGCTCATTTTGACTTGCATGCCCCAAAAGGACATTAAGTGAATTTTTCATGAAAGCAATCAGCTGGCAACACAGTCAGTGTGTCATGTGTTTTAAGCGGTTTAGGGTTGGCCAAAATGCTGAATGCTCCATTAATAATAATGTGATAAAAATGCTAAAATGTGATTATCAGCTTACCTGTGTCTGTGTCTGTGCCTGTGCCCGTGCCTTGCCTAATGTGTACTATGCAAATGTTTGACTGTTGAAAATCTGTTGACAGCCATTAGAATGGTATGAAATATGTAATTGCATCACGCTGGAAATAGAAAAGAAATGGATAAGAGCCGTAGGAAGTCAAATACGTATAAATATATAAAATGTTATCTGCTACGGAGCTCAGTCTGGGCTCCAATCAGTGCCCAATGTGCGGCCGATTGGCTCAGGTATGCGGGCTAAGATACAAATTCCCACAGATGAACTCGTATATAATAACACCGGCAATGCATAATTCATTTTAAGCACCACTTAAAGTTATGGCAAACGGCCGGAGCGCAATTTAAGACAGAGTTTAATGCATTCAATACGTCATTGAGCATGTTGTGAGCGGTTTGGGTCGCTGCTCTGATTTATGGTGCGTATACTTGATGTGGCCGCAAAGCCGCACAAAATGTTGCTACTGGGCTACCTTCCTTGCTGGCAGTTGTTCCTACTGCGGCGTCTGCTTTTTCCTCTTAATAAAACACAAAGCAAGCCTCGAAATACACTCGCCCACACACATACACACACACACACAGAGACACACCTACAAGTTTGGCATACACTTTGGCTGGGTCGAAGTCAGAATTGGACTCTTACTTTGAGTCTGAAGCTGATATTATTAAATTTTATAACATTTCGATGCGTCTGCATTTCAATTGACCATAAACGGCTTTAAGGCTTTACGACTGCGCCAGTCTTGAGCTTAAAAGTTCCCCTGAACCGCAGCCATTGTAGGCGTTGATATGTATATTCATACGCCCCGGGGGTCATGGCCGGGCCTAAATGTATGCGTGTATTTGCAACCGGCCATGCCCAATTTAATTTATCAAAGTCATAAACTGTTAAACGACTCGGCCGAGAAATACTACATGAATAATGGGCTCTGGCAAGCGGCAACAGATTCTTGTCAATGTGCGTCAAGATGCCCGATTAAGTGCGCATCTTTGTAGCATCTTAAGATATATAAATATTGCAGATGAGCTGAACTGATTAACTTAGTTGTATTAATACATAAATGAATCCCGGCAAACAGAGGAATTTATTGACTGTCGTAGCTGCTATTTAAGGCGTTGCGCAGTGTAGTGTGGTTGGGCAGAGTCAGGCAGCTGAGTGCTCCTGCACGGACTCACTCAATTTCCAGAGCCAGCAAGCTTGCAAAACGGAGTCAAATATAATTACGAGCACATGGATCACGGGTGCGCTTTGCCAATTATACCTAGCACTCGGTCAGCTTTAGATGGGGTATGTCAGACTGAAGAGTACAAGCCCTCTGGGCCATTGCAGTCAAACTGAGTTGATAAGCCGTGGCACAACCTCGATACATATTTTACTATATGAATAACATACGAATATTTCTATATATATGACTATGCAGTCTAGAAGCAGTATGATAAATGCATCCAAAATATATCAAATTTGCAATTCATATACCCGTTACAAAACAACCAGAAATCGTTGTGCTATCAAAAAGAAGCAACACGATAAAAGTCGACAATCTGTTTATGGATTAATAACATTCTGAGTGTCCGTTCGAAAATCTGCATTTAAGCCTCGAGCTGTTTCTCTAGCGGCCCGGCAAGGCAGCTCGTCGTCAGCGTAAAAGTTTATGCCATTTAAACATAATTTGCTTAACCGAAACGAATCTGGCAGCGAGAGGATGGGTCGCTAGGACCCAGCTCGAAAAAACACACATATAAAATCGACAATAATCATTTTTGTGGATAAAGGTAGCAGTCGCTGTGGGGCTGTCTGTGTGAGGGGAGGGTGGGCGCGTGGCTCTTTAATTTATGCAGCACCGCATTTTTTTGAGACTCATCCACACACGTTGGGCTCAAGTACTGGCAGGCAGCTGGCTTGCCGGAAATCAACAAAAGTTTATTGAGCATAAATTTAAATCTGCTTGATGCTCAGTGTCTGCCTAGCCTCGGGGCCTGCTTTGCGTTGTTTTGTTTACGTGAGCGTTTTTAAATTGATTTCACATCCATTCAAGTTCTCGACGACGGTCATTTCCGTATCCATCTTCGTCCCCAACTAGCATAAGCCCTAACGAAATAAGTCGCCAAATGAAGACATGATTTGTGGCCACAGCTGCTGCTGTTGTTCGCGCACAGCAACGACATTGCTGGCCCCATCATGAGACGCTGTTCCAGGTTTATGCACTCAGCATCTGGCTTTCATTTTCGTACTCTGAACTGTGCACTGTGCACTGTGTGCTGTGAGCTGTGGTCGTCGATGGTATAATCAATGATGCTTCATTATAAATAAGCAATTTTCGCTTCGCATTATATTTTCCATTGTCTTCCTCTCACTAGCCGCTGCTTTGCCCTTTGTTGTGCGATTGTTCGCCACGGACTGTCCGTTTCAGTTGTGTTCGGTGGCACAACTTTGGGTGTTGGGTGTGATAATAAGTATCTAATAATTTGTTATCATTATTGGCTATGGTCATTTTGGTGTTGACTCGCTCGCCCACGCTCGCACACTTCTTTCATCTCTCGCTATCTGCGCTCGTGTATTAGCCTAATGGACATTGCTGCCCTCCCAGCGCCCGGACTTCCACGTCTCAGTGATTACCAAGCAAATTAAATTAGTGAAAATGTCGAAACGAGGCACGAGAAAGGTAAGACAATCTAATTGCCTTCATTGCGGGCTCCAGTGTCTGTCTCTCTGTTCTGTGTGTGGTGTCGAAATATAACTGTATCTATATCTATGTATATATACATGTTAACCTATAGGTATATGTTAATTCCGTCTAGCATTGTGAACAGGTGCTGCCAACAATTGGCCTCTGGGGCCAATTGAATTAAACAAGCTAATTAGGTTTTATAGATATGAACAACCGCTAAACAAATTGTTGTGGTCATATAAGCACCCAAGGCTAGAATTTAATAATAAATTAAGAGTTTAATTGTTTTCATTTCAATGCTAAGTCTACAATATATGTTTGTCATAATATTTAGATATGCCAACTATTTAAACAACTTTTTGCAATTTTATTCATTATTTGACTTGCTTAGCGGAGACACAAACCATTTCGATGGCGACACCTGACGGCCATTTCGTTTTGTTTTAGCGCCGCCATTTGTCATTTATATTAAGCAGGCTAAAGAGCCGTTGCATGAAAGCTTTTACAAGCACTTCAAAACTGAATTTATCACAATGGCGGACACCCAAACGTAACGACGTAAGGGAGTTGACTACAGCCATAACCTCTACTATAATAACTGTAAATTGATATAATAAAAGACCGAATTTGATGGTGTCATACACACACAGCACACTACACTGCAAGGCTTGAGACACCCACGCACCAACCCAGACCTACAATATCCAAAGAATCGACCAAACTAGTTGCCTACCTTAAGCTTCTCTACCGACGAGGCTGACAAGGCAACGCGCAACAAATTAAAGCAGGTCAGCAAGCGCAGCAATTCGTCGCGGCAAGGGAATTCCGACAGTCGTCTGATAGACAACAGCTGCGAAATGAGCGCCAATAAAATTTTTCTGCGCTATTATCCACCAGGTGAGTCTTAAGCAATTTGACACCTGTGTAACTGCAGCTGAAATAATATTTCGATAGGCTTGGCCTTAAGTTATCGATCACCTAAGGGCGGTGAACGGCTGCGTCACTTCGATTTGCTTGACTTGGATGCCAAGTAAGTAGCCAGCATAATGCATAGTCCTCCATTGAGAAACGTAACACTCCACAGAACAAATGTGGAGCAACTGGCGGATAGAATTTTGTTCGAGGAACTACAGGTGAGGGAGTCAGAGGAAGGTGCAAGCGATGCCTGCACATCAAATGCTCCATTGTGTCTGCCCGCCAACTGCAAGGCTTCCAGCTCCCAGAACATGTTCAGCGCCCTGAAACAAGCAATTGAGAAGTTGCAAGCGAAGCTACGGGAACCGGTCAAAAAAAAGTTCTATCTGCACAAATGCTACAACTCGCACATTCTGCCGCTGACCAACGTGTGCTTTGATCGCAGCGGTGAGCGGTGCTTGACAGGCAGCTACGACCGCACCTGCCATGTGATCAACACCAGCACCGGCCTAGTGCAGCACATGCTCCACGGCCATGACAATGTAGTCTTCTCTGTGGGCTTCAACACGCCGCGCTGGTAAGTCTGAGAGCATATGTTAGACAATGTATAACGCTTGGCCTGTTCAGTGACAAGATCATTACGGGCTCCTTTGATGGCACCGCCAAGATTTGGTCAGCAAGCACTGGCCAGTGCCAGAGCACGCTGTATGGCCATACAGCGGAGGTGGTGGCTGCCGAATTTAATCCAGCGCACGACCAAGACGTTGCAACGGCCTCCATTGACGGCAAGGCACGCATCTTCGATGCGGAAACGGCGCAGGAGCTACAACAGCTGAATCACCACGGCGCCGAGGTGATAGCGGCACGCTACTCTCGCGACGGCCAGATGCTGTTGACTGGCTCTTTTGACCACACAGCTGCCATTTGGGACACACGCAGCAAGAGGTGGGCATGTCATTCATAAGTTATCAATGTTTTTAATGTTGCCACTTGAATTGCCCGCACAGCTGCTGCCATCAGCTGCGTGGACACACTGCAGAGTTGTCGAACTGTGTGTGGAATTTCAGCAGCTCGCTGATTGCTACCGGCAGCCTGGACCGCACCGCACGCATCTGGGATGTGCGTCGCCTGGACCAGGAGTTGCATTTGGTATCGACGCACAGCGACGAAGTGCTTGACCTGAGCTTTGACGCGGCCGGCAAACAGTTGGCCACCTGCAGTAGCGACTGCACGGCGCGCGTCTGGAGCTTGGAGCCGTTCGAGATGCTGTCGCTGATGGCCGGCCACAGCGACGAGGTGAACAAGGTGTGCTTCAGTCCCAGTGGCTGCATGCTACTTACCGCCTCGGCGGACAACACCGCACGCCTATGGCTCACCGAGACGGGCCAGTGCTCCCAGGTGCTGACTGGCCATGAGTCGGAGGTGTTCAGCTGCGCCTACAGCTACGCAGGCGACGCAATATTAACTGCCTCCAAGGACAACACCTGTCGCGTTTGGAGGTGATACGACTGGTACACTGTGCAGTTCAACTCCGACTGAACGATGTGAATAAGTGCAAGAATTGTTTTTTTTTTTCAACATTTACTACAAACTCGGGCGTTATTTTTTTTTCATTTTCATATTTTCAGGTTTGTTTAAGTTTCTTAGTATTTCAGTTTGCACACTTCTTACAGAATAATAGTTTTTGTTTTCCATTACAAGTTTAATTTTTCGTTACTTATTTTGCTTTGTGTTTAAAGTGGATATCTCTCATATACATATATAAAAATAATGAACAAAAATGATCCTTTAGTAACAAACATTATACAGCTTACAAAAGTCCGTTTCATCTCGGAATCAATATATTAATACACAATTTGAAAATTAAAATAAAAACTTCTTGTACAGACATCATCACCCGAGCGAATTCCTTAGACAGGGCTAATATAGGTTTTCTTTTTATTTTCTTTCATTTTTATATATATATATATAAATATTGTTTTTTTGGTAAAATTTTACACAGATGAACTTTTTCTACAGTTCGGAGGCGGGCAACAAAGACGAGTAAACAGTATGCGTGTGAATGCTTTCTTTGAGATGGAGACGGAACGATAGGTTGATAGAGCGCTGACCAACATAGGGAATTAGTAGTAGGTAAGTATAACCTGTGTGTTGTAACTGTCTAACTGTATCTTCAGTTAATACATAGTAATAGGGTAGTTTGATTGGATGACCAAAGCTGTCAGCGTTTGTGCTTAAAGCCAACCCCGGTTCTGCTAGTTAATTTCAGTTATTTATTTTTATATCCTGATGCAATTAAAAATGGGAAATCAGGGTATATGGGTTTTATGCTAATGTAGAAGTATATATATATATAAGTAATCAGGATGACCAGCCGAGTCGATTGAGCCTTGTCCGAGTGTCTGTTCGTATGATCCGTGTGAACGCATCGATTCAGTTATTAAAATATATCTCGTTCGATTTAAGCGTTAGAACCTCAAAATTGTAATTGGGTTGCTGTATATTTTCTACAATTTTGATTTTTGATGGATTTTGGATACCGGCTCAAAATTTCCCCAAATTCTTAAAATTTAAATTCAGTTGGAAATATGGGCAATAAGTCAAAGAGTTTGCACTTTTACGAATCCAATGGAATATCTAGATCATATGTCAAGCAGCGCCAAGAGCACGCATTTTTCCTATACATTAATTCAAATGCATGTATTCTTTTCTATTCCAAGAATCGAAATTGCGATTGAATTGTACTTGAGTTATCAGCTGCTACTTAAGTTCAAATTTCTTTCTATAAGTGGTGTTGTTGGTAGAGGCGGCGATCGTTAACGACAAGTTTTAGCTCCGCGACCAGGCTGAGAATCGACGTTTTTTGTTCTTTTTTATATTTTAATTGTGAAGCGGCGGTGTTGGTATGTTGATGCTTTTTTCGAATACTCGATAAAAACTATTGAAAATATTAAAAGACGCAGATGGGACTGGGGTCAGGGCAGTCGGGCACCACGACTAAAGCTTTCATACTTGTTTTTTATATTTATTTCATGTTTTGTTTTTTTTTTTTTGGTAAAATTTTACACAGATGAACTTTTTCTACAGTTCGGAGGCGGGCAACAAAGACGAGTTAACAGTATGCGTATGAATGTTTTGTTTGAGATGGAGACGGAACGATAGGTTGATAGAGCGCTGGCCAACATAGAGTGGTAGTAGTAGTAGGTAGTATAGCTTGTGTGTTGTAACTGTCTAACTGTATCTTCAGTTTATATATATATATAGTAATAAGGTAGTTTGATTGGATGACCAAAGCTGTCAACGTTTGTATTTTTGCGTTAGCTTAGAGCCAACCCCGGTTCTGTTAGTTAATTTCATTTATTTATTTTATTTTCTCGTTGTTGTTAGTTATCCGTTTTTAGCTCTGAGAGGTCTGCTTAGGTTCGCCCTTTTCTATAAGTATGATCTATGTAATACAAGGTTCTTGTAGTTGTGTTTAGGACTGGCTTTCATATATACTATATAATAATGGCTATTTCTATTATTAGTAGGTTTTTCCATATGTTCTTTTTTTATCAAAGTAGAAAACGGTTTTGGTGTGGCGTTTGTGTGTGTGTGTGTGTGTGTGTTTGTGGAAGTGTAAGTGCGTGTGTGTGTGTAAGTGTAAGTGCGTGTGTGTGTGTGTATGTTTCTATTGTTATTGTTGTTGTTGCATTTGTTGACTGTTTGAATTGCAATTTAATGCGTTGGACTCTGCAAGAATAACGAAAAATAAGAAATTATTACGTGTTGGGAGACAGGTGGGAAATGATCAAAAATATAAGCACAGCTGGGGCGCGGGCTTACATGAAGCGTGTGGAGTAGAGAGTTGATGGAAGTTTTTGCATTACGATTATTATTATTACTTTATTTATTATTGTTTTTGGATGAGCATGCGGGGGTAGAGCAACAAGCGGACATGCAGAGCGCTTGTTTGATTTATGGTTATTTTCTGTTCTGTTTAATTTAGTTTTTTTTTTTAGTTTTAGTTTGATTTGGGTGCTGTAAATCTTACAATAGGTTGTTAACTATGTAAAAACCAAGAGACGGAAACGACAAAGTGGCGTTCGCCTTACAGTTAATGTTTATGAATTTAAGGGGTTTCAATTTCAATTTCAATTTCAATTGCTCTCTTGTTGGATGGTTGTTTGTATTGGTTTTGGTTGTTGTTGTTTTTGTTGTTGTTGCTGTTGTTGTTGATTTAGAAATTAACAATATTTAGCATTAAAAAATTCATAGCTCATCATATGCATACAGCTAGAAATAAAAGAAAGAGAATACGTAAAGAGCTTTCGATTTGTTAAACTATTAGTTGGGATGCAGCCTCATTCTTAGAATAAACAACTGTGATTTCAGATCATTGGATCAGGTGATAGATGCGAAAGTAGAGCATAGAGATAAAGTGAAGAGAAACTGAGCATGTTAAGCAATAAGCTAGAAAATTAAAAAAATTACAGCAAAACTTAAAAGCAAAATGAAAATGAATAAGCATTAATAAGCAAGATGCGTAGCAAAGGCAGCAATTGCAAGTGATTTTAAATGTTGTAGAAAATATTTCGTACTTCACATGGACTCTCTGGAAACACCTCCTTGAATGTGCGCTCAATAACGTGATATCTGGAAATGAATAAAAGCAATCAATTAACACTCTATAGATCAATTACGCTTATTTAGGAATACATACTTGGACTGCAAGCCGCCGCCGGGTGGAAGACCTACAATGTGATCTTTGATTTGGAGACACTTTAACAGCTCCACATACTCCGTGACCTGATTACTCTCAATCTCCTCTGTAAGAATGCCAGAAATATGCAAATAGTTAAGTAGCTGTTGCGAAAGGTTTGCTGATTCGAACTTAATACGTAAGGCTCTTGTTGTTTATGAAATTTGTATGTACAATTAAATACGAATTGTTTATATACATATTAAAGCTACGCAAAAGCAAAATTACAATTCATAAAAATAGAACACGAAATATGTTGCAACAGCGAGGGCCGGCAAAAATTGAGCAACAAACTGAACGTGAGGCTTGGCAAATTAATTCAGGTCGATAGAATGTGGTTTTGTTTATCGGATAAAACACAAGAGAACTAAATGTTTGTTTTTTGAATTCCATCGACCTGATTTGTTAGCGTCGGAATCTTAAATAATACAATAAATTGGGGTGTCGCAAAAATTGGCGCTTCAAAAGGTCAAAAGGGAGTACACTAAAAAAAACACAAGAAGAAACGAAGAGTGGCAGTGCTCTGCCTTGCCCCCTTTTGGATATAATCTTTGCATTGGGTATTGTTTATGAGAAAACTGTTTACAGCATTCAGTGTACAACAAACATTTGAAAATATCGAATGGTAAAAGTGATTGGATAACATGTATAATAATTGGATTTATCTTAAGAGCATGCATATATCATTTACTTTTTCATTTGTGTGTTGTGGGATCTATGTGCCTTACCTTATGCTCACTCATCATAAAATTTGTTTGGCTTTCTGTTTTCTGGCATTGACATGACACGCCCATTTTCATATTGATTGTGTACATTATAAGAGTACGATTTATAGCACGATGCGCGATTAACGACAATAAAACAAGAACAACGAACGCGCTCCTAAATTTACTTTAACAAATTTCGTAGAAAGAATACTTGAAAAAAATCATTAGTCATTAGTTTCGACTGATCCTTTAAACAAACAAACAAACCAACAAACGAACAACAACTGAAGAAGGTTTCATAAATCACTTTCTAAATAAATAAATGATAAAGTTTACAAATTGAAAATGCTGCGCATTGTTGAAATCGTTGTGCAAAAAAAAAAAAACAAGGAAAAAAAAAAGGAACAAATTGAAATGAAAAGAAATTAATTTGGATTTCGATCACATGAATCGTGCGAGTTGTTGTTTTGTTTGTGTTGCGTGTTGGCGGAGGAGAGGACGTGGCAAGCAGCGAATGTTTATCAAACGGAAACTGGAAACTGAACAACACAGCAAACAAACACTTTTGGTTTATTGGTTTTCGAATCTTTCATTTCAAGTTATATTTTGACTTAGCAGCGAAAAAATAAACGTATTTCATTAGTTTTTGTGGGTATTCCATTATGATTTTCTATAGTAAACGCCGCTACGTGAGCAAGCGATTTCAATTATGAATGATTGCTATAGTACTTAGGTACAATTGTCTCAGCATATCGAAGTGATGTTCGACCTGATTATGGTTAGCTTCGCTGCGCCGCATCAATCGCATTTATCTAAATTCAAATTTTAAAGTAAACTGTTTACGTTGACAACAAGCACAACAATTGGTGAGCATAAGGTTTACAATTTTTCTTTTTTCTTATTTTTTTTTTTGGTTTTGTATTCTTTTGGGTTCATCTGATACGTATACAGATGCCCTAAGGCCCAGCATTAAATATGTTTACCCTAGACTAAGTAATTTGTCTGGACATTTGGTTTGACTAGCTTCTCCTTTGGTTGTACTTAATACTACTTTTTGGTATACAAGACAAATCGTAATCATTTGTGGAGCGTGGGTTAGGCTAATTGTAAACCATATACAATATCAGTATCAGTTACGCAAAGTAATTGTCTACATCGTACATATACATATAAAGTTGACGTCTGTACTTGAACATGGTCGTAAGGACGTTTCTCAAAATTCACTTTGGTGTTATGAATACTGCGAACTACCTAAGATCAATTGCGTATATCAACTAGAAAATATTCTACATATTTATGTATATGACTAATACTTGAGCTTGAACCTAGCGCAGCTCTAAATCAATAATTCATCTAAATCAATTCCCTCAATTCAACTACAAACGAAATTACATGCACATTTCATTTCGATGATGCTCCTACTCAGTGTCTTGGTATACACGAGCTGATCACTAATACTTGTTGTTTCTAGTAATAAATTTGAGTATTTGCTATTAGCTCTCAATTGGCTTGTAAAAGTGTTAATAAACTGCCGGCAATAATTTAATCTAATTGGTTTTGATCGAGTTATATTAAAAATTGTATCAAATATTGGGGTTAGGTATTCTAGTTTCTAGTATTCTGTTTAACACAATGTATGGGGGTTTTTTTTTTTTGATATTGGATTATATACAAGCATATTTACACTGGCTGACGGGGCCTCAACTACAGTTCACAACGGGAAGGTTTATCAATAATTGCTAATAAGCTTATGATATTACTACATGACTATATATATATATGAATATGATATATTGGGTCAAATTGGGCAGGGTTTTTGGTTGTTCAGCTACAAGGAGTTTGCTCACTTGGAACGCTTTGGCAGTTGCTGTAGCACACAAACACTTTGATACATATGAGGTATAAATAAATAAATAATACTGTAACATACACACACGCACATTCAAACAAGGTCAGTCACTCGGCCACACGCACAGCCAGTGGAAGTTGTAGATATGACAAACTAACACGCTATAAAGTTATTTGCTATGCATTATCGATAGGATATACATAGTGTTATGTATGCCTAAGTGTATACGTATGTATGCATCGGAATGGGTATTGGCAATGGGTATAGCAATTGTTTTGTCTGATTTTGATTTCGTTTTTGAGTTTTCGTTTCAAGTGCCACGTGGAAGGAACATCTTTTTGCAAGTGTGCTTGCATTACGGTCTCGATTTGTTCAATTATCTATCTAGCTATATAAATACATATACGTATGTATTTATGAGAGTGTATAATTATAATCTACTAATCTATGCCAACGTTTTGTTGGGGCTATCTTTGTATGAATTACGTAAGGTACAATGTATTCGTTTGAGTCGCCTGTATCAGGTCGATGGACGCGTCGAGGGTAGAGGATCGACGACAAAGATACATAAACACAATTGTGTCACGACTATCGTTAGGTTTACGATTAGTTATAAACAGAGTAGACGACTTAGACAACCTCTTGCGATCTTCTCAATTTGTTTCTCCAACCGTCGCTCAGCCTCTTTAGCTTCTTCAGTTGGCTTTGGTGCTCCGGGGAAAGCAATTATTATGATGCTCATGTTATCACGACTGCCCTGTAGTTTCAAGCAGAGAAAAACGAGAGATATAGATATTGATTTTATGAAAAAAATTGGCTGATGACGTACCTTGTGCAAACAGGTGTCAACCACCTGGTTGGCAATGTTCACCAGGTCTGAGGTCACTTTTAGCCTGGAGTATATGAAACTGCATACATCTTCGTTGCTCATCACATCCCAGATGCCATCACAGGCGAGCACTAAGAACTCGTCGGTGTCTTGGCGGCTTTGGCAAAAGATTTCCGGTTCCGGGGAGACCAACTGCTCGCACTGGCCTTTCTCCTTCACATTCTTAAAGTCGTAATCGCCTAGAGCACGAGATACAGCAAGCGTTCCATTGACACGTTTAATCATAACACTGCCGCCAGCATTGTGAATACGCTCCTTCTCTTCGGGCAGAATGGGCTTGTGATCCTGCGTAGCAAACACTGGCACACCCTGGCGACACAACACCGCGCGTGAATCTCCACAATTGGCTATATACACCTGCGTTGAGCTGATGAATGCACAGACGGCCGTGGTGCCGCCGCATTTCTCCTCCTCTTGGGTAAACTCCGGCAGCTGTCGCATTACCTCGTCAATGCGCAGAAAACCTGTTCGTATTCCCTTTACATGATCTCCACTCTTGAACTCGTCTGTAGTGATGATGCTGTCCAGCAAATGCTTGGCACAATGCTCCGACACCTTACAACCCGCATGACCATCGAAAACCGCAAAAAAGCTCCAACCTTCCAAAGCATTGCCTAAGCGGGCTTCAGCATAATACGCGTCTTCCATTTCACAGCGCCAGCCCTGCATCGAGCTAACGCCAAAGAGCAACTTGTTGCCTTCACCTTGTTCATTGTGCTTTGCTGTTTTTGGCTTATCCAGGAATCCTCCCATATCTATTGAACATAATGTGTGTGTACTAGTTGGAATTACTTTCGGTCCAGTCGCGCCTTTCACGTATCTTGCTGTGGAGAGGACAGAGAGACACCTGAATGAGTTAAAACAATTCGCCGAGAAGCATGCAAAAAATCTATAAAAACTGGGCACCCGACACACACACACATACACACATTAACGGAATATCACACGCATACACATGCACACACACTCACACAATCATACGGAATCAAGGATGCGTATTGAGCCTTTAACCGCCTACACTTGACTTAATGCAGCTGCGCTCTTTTAATCGTGTTGTTGCTGTTGTTGCAGTTAGCGGTGCCGCGGTTAGCTTTCGACTCCTCTCGCACATCGATTTATCAAAGACGCGGGCTCAGTTGCTAAATTTAGCGCAGGTCCGAACTGGCACGCCCACACGCCTTTCAGCTACTGTTCAGCGTAGGTGTTAGCTCAACATTGCTTTTGGTGTTATTGTTGTCGTGTTTAGAGCATTTATTTTAGAGTCAAATGTAAAACATTACAATTTAGGAGCGCGCCGACACGTCTAGTGACGAGCACAATAACAAAAAGCGCGCGTTGCATTGTTTACATCAGAACAACACACTGAACCACAACTAAGCGCTGACCAATTAGAAATGCAAAATTTTTCTTTTCAGATCGTTGAAAATAGAAGTTTGTTAACTGAGTATTTCTTTACTTTAAGTTTCTTAAGCGCAATGCAGCTGAATGTCCAGCAGGAGTGTAGTTGAAGCACCTACGATTTAAATCGCAACCTGAATATTGCTTTTGACAGTCACCAACGGTATTTTAAAGTTACAGTTCGTATAATGCCTTTAAATTCACAATGGCTCCCACCACTAAGTGAGTTTATTTGTGCGCAGTGGAGAGCTCCATGCAGGGGGCAGACAACACGAGGAAACGCATATAACGAAACATACAAGTTTCAAAAACATTTACACGCCCTATTCTTTTTATTTACAAGACAGCAAGATTCACTAATACTAATGTAAAAATATTAAGCATTTCAAAACGCACCAGTTAAATTTCACCTCTTGTTTTTTTTTTATTTTTCGCTTCCGATTCTTTGCCTGTTCTTGCACTAACTTTGCGTGTATCTGTGTGTGTGTCTTGGCAGCTTAACGAAAATTTGCTTTGTTTGATTTGTGCGTCATCAAATGAAATTCCCGAATGGGCCGGAAGTAAATCACTTATTGAATCTTGTAAACGTAATATTTTTATAACGCAAAATAAATATATGTTTTGATTAGAAAAAAAAAACAACCACAAACGAGCAGCGACTGACGTTGATACTTTATTTATATCGATACATAGATTCGATATTAATAATGTCGCTTATTGATATTAATGTCGATTTTTTAAACGAGCAACACCAATGCAATGTAAAATATCGATATATCGGTTAATATATTGTTTGGTTTTACCAGCTATCCGAGAGGTGGCGCTACTTGGCGCCTTTTTCAATTAATGAGACGTAAGACTTAAAATGGAAATAAATGAACTCAGAATACATATGTATTAATATTTAAACACATTAATTAAGTAGTGAAATAGATCAGAATTTAAACTGTTTTTATAAGCAAATTATTGTTAAATGAAATAAAATATGTAATATCTTTATACTTGTTCTTATTTTGCATTAGATTGTTCATTTTTTAACGTTTGATTATATTATCCTTACTACTTTTTCTCGTTATGAATATGTAATAGAAAAGTTCATTCAAGTCGAATACTCAAATTATATCACTATGTCTGAAAATATTACAACTAGGTCAGCTAAATTGGGATTAATTACAATACGTAATTTTTAACAATCATAGCTAAAAAATTATTTTTAAATTAAAAGAAACTTAATAAAAAATACAAATATTTGTGTGAAAGCTTAGGCTAAGAGTTGAAAGCAGACCGTAAATTCATAATATCCATCGAACTTGTGTAAGTGGCCAAAGAAAATGCTGTTTGTTATTAAATGAAACAGAAAGCATTTTGATAAGCCGGGAAACTCTGCAATAAGCTATTATCTATCTAAATTGTCTACTACAATTTTATGAGCTTAACGATTAGTTGATCAATCAATATATTATGTAAGCTTCGGCATGTCAACAAAGCCAACCTTAAGAATATTTACTGCAGGCAAGCCATATTAATTAACTCATCAAGAAGTAATAATATCAGTCCTGGACAAGCTCCCACTGAAGCCCCATAGAATGGTGAACTTTGTGCTTCAGTCTGTCTCTGTCAGCAGGCAGTTGCCAACGTTGAATACCAACAAGGATTTCTGCGCCATGACCGCTGAGTAATTCTTGCGAAATGCGTTGGCCACACAATGTTGCATGCTGATGCCTTTGCCTGCTGCGGCAGCAGCAATTATATTATGAATATAAGAAAATCGAGTTATAGATTTAGGTCTCAATTAGGAGCTCACTTACATGTTTTGGTTGAGTTTAGAATATTGTGCTTAGAGTCCACCCTCAGGTTTGGATGAGGCTGCTGCTGATTCATCAGCATCTTCTAAATTGTTAAGAGATTTCATAAGTCTACATATTTTTTCTGAAAGTCCATTTCGGAAGTGCGTGATAAATTTTGAGAACCCAGAAACACGCTCAAAACTTCAATATGAAATCATAAATAAATGAGATATAGATTAAGCAGTAAAAACTTTATGAAACTAGCCGCTTGACAGCAATTCATCGAGTAGTGCCTTCTAGTACTGTGAAAGTACGAAAAAAAATAATGATGTCAGCATTGTGGACTATAATCGTCAGTGATTGTTTAATCTGGTGTTTTTATAGCACAAATTAAGAGCGAAATGGTCATGCGTGCAACTATCAGACCGAGCTAAACTATTATTAGATTATTTGTAATATACGACAACTTTATGGCTGCAGATTTAGTGGCTTGGTCAAGAGAGTATTGTAGTATTTCCTGAATATATACAACGCCATCCTCGCATGAATCTATCGCAGTTGATATCTCGATTTGATAAGAGCACAAAAAGAACCGTATTGATAACTTGAAATTGAATCTTTGACAAGTATAAAAGCAAACGAAATTCTCTTAGGGCGAATAAAAGCAGTTGGCGACACTTGGACATAACACTTCCGATTAGTAGCTCATCGAGAAATAATGTTGTGGAAAGCAGTTCCCTTGTTGCTGACAATCGGCACAGCTCTGGCCTTGATGCCACTGAAGCCCCAGGTCAACGCGAATCGCAGCCTTATGGACTTTATGCTCCAGTCAAGTGGAGTGGGCATTGGCGATCCGGCACTGCAGCAGTACTGCTTCAACCGCTACCTGCCCATCTTGAAGGCCATTTCGGATCAGTACGAGGCTGACTACAACAAGTGTGCGGACACCTACAAGGCGGAGTGTGACGCAATTGACGGTAAATTCTACGAGCCTCGAGAAAACAGTGCCAGGATCGCTAAGGAAACCTGTGATGCGCTCCTCAAGTGCGACACCAACGAGAATTATTTGAATGCCTTTAACTGCTACGCCAGGACAGTGAGTTCACTTAAAAACCCAAGCATTTGACCCCACTCAAACTCCTCTATCTCTCTCTACTCTTGCCATAGGGCTCCGAATATTCGAAAATACTGTTCTCTCTGTCGTCGGATGCCGCTGAATATGGTGGCATCATCAGAGAGTTGTACCGCGCCGCTGAGTCCATCGCTGAGTTCTGTGTCAACTATGCCGAGCGCGTCTTTTGGGAGAGCACCGACAACACCTATTCCGAGCTGCAGAAGTGCTTGGATGGTGAGCTGAACGAGCCAACAACAGCCTCGACAACCTCTACAACAACACGATCAACATCCTCCCTAGTACCCAAATCAAGCGCAGTAACCAAAGCAACCTCAGGGCGCTGAATTGCGAATATTGATAAATTAATTATGGAAATTTACGTGAAGATTATTAAGTAAATAATAAGTAAATAGTTTCATCAATAAATCTATATTAAAATGTAAATTTGTTAAGTGTTTCACAATTTGCAGTTGAGATTAAGGATTAGGGGAGTGCTTTGTGGTCGAGGCAACAAGGCTTTCTGAAGTATACGCAATGTACCCAAAATCTCTTACATGATTCAATAACAGCTACAAAATTGTTGTATTTAAAATTAGTTTCTGAATATTTAAATCGAGAGTGCTCGATTATGCCACAACCAACTCAGTTTTATAGCCTTATAAGCCTCTTTTATATTGTAGAAGAAGCAAGAATGTCGTTCGTGTTTGCTAATGTAGTTATATATCTATATTATCGGAGTTGCAATGGCTCACTAGATCATCAGCCGTTACGTTCAACATATTTTGTTAATTTGTTCACTTGGACATTTAGCTTATATCACACAGTCATCAGTTAATATCTATGTTAAATATGCAGAGATCTTAAAAGTGAGAGCCGAAAAGTCTTAAAGCCATAATAAATGTGTTCAAGAATATCATATAAAATCTATGGCTTTCTCCAAATTATTAACATTTTTTCAACTATGTCTCAAAGCTCTTAAACCTGAGTGAACTATACGCTGCAAATAAATTGTTATCTCTATTATCAGGCAGACAACTTGACGATACTTAAGGATGACGTCAGCCTGTGGTATCAAGTTATAGTAACGTCAAATTTATTGATATTGGTTAGTTGCGTTACCCTAGGCTAATGGGAAAAATTAGTGACAAATGTATATCAATGAACATAGATAACAATGAAATTATTTCTTAAAATGTTATATGCAACATAAACTTGAAATATTAAAACAAACCAAATTTTTCTGTCGAATATGTTGACCTTTGTTATACAACAAGTTTCAAGCTCTGCAAATTATATGTTAGTTATTACTGTGTACATACAGATGAGTGACGGTATTTCCTAGTCGAACACATCCGGTTGCAGCTCACTTACTGATTTGCTGAAGCTTAAAGATAACAGGTATTCCATGTACCCGAGCGATTATTTTTCGTGTAAACAATGAGTACCGGAGAAATACAAGTGAGAAATCTTGCGGACGGATGACATCGACTTCGTTATACTCGTTTAGAGTCCTAGCACAAACTATGCACAATTAGGCTTCACATAGTTATAATCGAAAAGCTTAGGGTGTGCGGGCTTAAATGCTAAATCATTTAGTCGTTGCTATTTGGCTCTTTGATTATGATCTGAAAGTTGCAAATGAGAGCCGATGAGAGGAAAAACATCCTTGTGTTAAACGTATTCAGCTATTCAAAACATATTCATGTGAGCTGGCATATCATTGACCTGACTAAGACTAGCTCAGAGTAAGGTCAATCATTTGTATAAGAGAGATATAGCTTTGCTTTATACATCTGTAATCAATTAAGTTCTCAAGTGTATTGGACAAAAACAAAACACATTGATAAGAAAGTTTACACTTAGAAAAACGAAGCTACCTTTGTTAACACATCGACATCAATAATTAAAAGATAATGGAGTAAGTGTCAAGAGTCTGAGATATAAATAGAGGCAACATTTTGGGCATTTGAGAAGTGATTCTGTGGCGACGAATCGTAGCGATTCGTTTCAATATCAATATCAATATCCTTGTAAAGATGTGTCTAAAGCTAACCGTGCTTCTGCTGGGTCTGAGCACCAGCCTTGTGCTGGCTCGCAGGCTGCAGGCGCCGCTGGTAGTCGACGAAAATATTCGACAGCTTCATAGCGAGAGCCTGGTTCTGGCCGAATCGCATCAGGCTAAATCAACGCCTTGCTTCACCATCTACAATCCTCAATTGAACCAAATCACGAACAACTACGAGGTGGCGTACGAGAAATGCATCTCAGCCTATGAAGCATGCAGCAAGAGTATTGAGAATCACTATAAACCTGCCCGCCTGGAGCTAGAGTCGACTGTCTCTCAGTCCTGCGATGCTCTAAGTTACTGCAATGGCTGGTCGAATTCCTACACAGCCTTCACTTGCGCCTCCACTCAGGTGAGCATAACATTTGTTCATTATCAAAATTACACATTGATCAAATTCAATCGATCTTTCAGGCTGCCGAAGATTCGAAGAACTTCTATGCGCTGTCTGCCAACGCTACAAACTTGGCTGCCAACGTCAAGGCGGACTATGTTCAGAGTAACACTGTGAAGACCGTGTGCGTTAACAATGCGGAGAGGACCTATGTTGAGGACACGACTCGGGTCTATGGCCAATTGAATAGTTGCCTTCTGGGCTATGACATTCCCAATCCTCCAACTACTGATACTACTACCGAGTACCCAACGACGTTGGAATACTACACAACGAGCGTTACTGATTAAGGGGAAAATGACATCAAATTTTTAAATAAAAATGCATTCAACAAACATTATTCTTATATCAATTCATAAAAGAGTCTATTTACCCATTTGATTCAAGGGGTTTTCACTTTGAAGTATACTTTTGATGCGCAACAGTCAACTGAGAGGCTTTAAGCCTAAGGAATACAAGTTTTTGAAATTATCAGAAATAAATCATTTTTCAAGCTAAAAGGATTTGATTTTAATTACTTTTAAAAATTATAAATTTAAATATATAAATAAAAATTTATGAATAAAAAATATTTATTTTGAATTGTACAATCTGCCATAAAAAATTTGATCTAGCTAAGGTGTGGAGCAGGTCTCAATGGTAGCTCAGGCCTGCTGGCAAGCCATCTGCATTCGTGAAGAGAGGACTATTAGAGAACGGAGCTTGGGCGAACAGTGAGTGATCGTAAGGACACTGCTCAAATGGCAAAAGACCAGTTGGGAGAGTGCGGAGCGAACGCCTCGTCGTGTCTTGAAAAGACTTAGTAATTGTTAAGAGTCTATTTGACATTTATAAATAAAATTTGAAGCGTCAAATTTAATTTCAGGTAATCTTTTTAGGTTAAAATTTATTTTATTATTATTATTATTATTATTATTACAATTATTATTATTATTGTTTGCATTTGTAAATGTTTTTTTTACCAGAGTAAAGCCTATTGAACGCTGAGTTATAAAACTAAATATGTTTGCTCTTGTAAAAAAGGCTTTTGGATGTGGTGAGGGCTTATTTCAATATTGAGATGAAGTGAACTTGAAGAAGCGATTGGGCACATCCTCTTGAGTCCTTTGCGTGTTCTTCTGTGGCTGAGTCTTATGGGAATATTGCCTGCTGAATGCATCTTAATATACGTATTTCGTTTAGATGAATTTTTATTGCAATTCATTACTCTTGTTTTTCATATTTCCAAATATTGGACAGCATATTTTTAAACAAAAGTATTTTGTGTTTAATTGAAACTCTGTTGGCTGGCTTGTGTAACCAAAACATTTTCCTAGTCTAGTTCTAAATTATAACTTTAGCTTACAAATATTTTGCACTCGCTCAAAATTAATATTCATATTGAATATGATGAGCTGAAATCATTTGTAAATAAAGCAAAAATAATCCACAAATGTTTCACACAATTGTACTTATGTATATGTATATGTATAAATTGTAATTGAATTGCCTGAATTGAAAATATCATTGATTACTTCCGTGAGCTGAATTGAACGATAAGAGAAAAGAGCAAAGTCTTTCTTTGACAAGATTAATTGAAATCAATTATAAAGCAATTACGGCTACAAATTTCAGCAAACGAAACACTCAACATGGCTACAGCTACTAATTATATGAAATTAAAAAGCATGTCTGATAAAATTTGAAGATTGGCTGACGATTCGGGGAACATGAAAGAGGTGTCGCAGCTTTAATTGCTGCTCAAGATCCAGACGTCTGCCTTATAAAAAGCGGAGGCTTTCCAAATCTGTATTAAGTTTGCCTAGAACTTTGCAATGTCGTCGACTGGCTGTCTACTGGTGCTCCTCGGCTTGGCCGTAATGGCGGCTGCCAAACTAGAAATACCCAAGATACCTAAGATCGAACGTTTGCAGCATCAGACGGAGGTGCTGACTGCGCAGAATCCGTCGAATGGTCCATACTGCTTTCCATACTACAAGTCAGCGCTGGACAGCATCGCGAACCAATACGAGCTTCAATATAACTCGTGCATCACCCAATACGAAAACCAAGTCGCCGTAGAAAACGCCAACTGGCAGCAGCCACGTGAGCAGCTTGCGGACAAGGGCAACTCTTGCTGCAACCGGATTGCCAACTGCGCCTCAATAGTGAGCTCCGTTCAGGCCTTCGAGTGCTACGCTGAAGTGGTGAGTACATAACTCCGGGACTTAGTGGACGAAGCTTAACTTAAATACTATCTGAAGGGCACTGATGAGTCGAAGACCATGTACGGCCTTTCGGCAAATGCCACTGCAGTAAAGACTGCTATGGAGGGACAGTATCAAAAGCTTAGCTCAGCTAAGACCGTTTGCATCAACAACGCGGAGAGAACCTATGTCGAGAGTACGACATCTACATACGAGGCCTTAAATAGCTGCCTAAGCGGCAGAACAACAGGATTACCCTCAACACCTGTCTATGAGGATACCACGGAAGAGTGGACGACGAGTAAAATCTAATACTTTGATATTCCATAACTAAATTGAATGCAAATAATCAAACTACGATTATACAAATATTGCTCGCTTGTTTCTTCTCCATATATCCATCTATAAAGTGAAAGGGTAGGAGACTTCTGCATGCCCTAACAATATACATATATACATAAATGATTAGCATCAGCATGAGCTGAGTTAATAGAAGCCTTCTTCTTCAGCTGTTGAGTCTGGAAACAAGGCAATATCTAATACTGTCTGTGGTCTAGAAGTATGGGAAGAGGCTCTAATAACTAGATAATATCTGAGCTCGAAAACAAAGACAATTGCAATAACTCTTCATATAGCTAAGGCGGAATAAAAAGCATGTGGTAGGAATATTTTTTTCGAATTAGAATCGAAGAAGGCATTTAGCATAGCAGATATACCCAATAAAACTGATAAACATAAAGTTATCAGAAGAAGCAAGAGTACAAAGAGGAACTAATTGCATATTATACGAGTTAGTTATCATAAGACTTGAAGACTGTCGAGCTAATATTACATTGAATTAGTTGGCAGACCACCCGAACGCCTTACCTAACTGTCGACTGCCGTAGCAGCTAGTTTTATGTGAAATTTTATGACAGAGTTGCGGCAACAAAAGACGCAGAAATTTCCCACACGCACAACAGGGCTCGACGAGCTCCGAGCGGGCACAATAGATAACACTTGCGATATGGCGATTATCGGAGCGAGTCTATCAATGGCCGGGGTAGCTGTAGCACCGGCCAAAAATGCTCAAATCCTTTGCCATATTTATGGCCCGGCCACACCCAATTCTCTGCCGACAGGTATAAGAAATCAGTGCACATCTTGTTGTACACGAAAGGACCTTTTCGTCCTTTTATGAATTGCCGCCGCAACAGGCTACCAAATTTCTCGCTTAATTAATTTGAAATATTTGCGGGCAAATGTCAAGTCCGAAATTGAGCAAGCTACTTCAATTGAGTTGTTAAGTTGTTGTTATTGTTGCTATTGCTAGGTATCCCCTCAATGGGCAAGTAGGCGTCAAACTATTTTAAAAAGGATGAGAGCTCGAACGTCGAACTCAGCGCAATGCTGAGCTGAGCTGAGCTAAACTGGGCTGGGCTGGGTTGGGCCTGTGCTCGTTGCCGACGTCGGGACTACAATTGTCAGTCATGTCTTCATAAATTTTATTGAATTGAACCGTTTGCCGGGTCTCAACATGCGCCCAACATACAAAACGGCTCCGTGTCTGCAGCTCTGCCTTGAGCTTTAGTTGGGGGCGGAGGGGCGAGGAGGTGCTGCGCCATTGGGGACTTGCGTCTATTTGCCTATTTCATCTTTTGCCGACGCTTGTACATAGCCTTAAATTGAATCGTTACAAATTTTGTTGCTCGTTATAGCAAGCGTTTTATTGCCCAACCAGTTTGGCCCAATGCAAACCAGACATCGGGCCAAAACTCCACAGATTATGATCAGCAGACTTGATCGCAGTCGCAGGCGCAATACGCCTTCGCCCGGTTTCTCGTCCTCAAACGGTAGCCTCTGGGACCGCCTCTTCAGCTCGGTCTGGGACGCAGCGTTAAATAACTTCATTAAATGCCCTTTGACATTTATGCTGAGCATAGAATAACTATGTGTGTGTGTGTGTGGCTGTAGCTGTTCATATGCCTCGTCGCCCGCTGGTTATCGCTTCGAGCAGATCAAGAACGCGCGCACAGGTAGCTCCTGGCTCTATAAATTACGTAATCATCTGATAATGAAAATTGTTTACAAGCTACGACTTGCATCCAGCACGCCCACAGTAGCCGCAGAGCAGACACAAAAGGTCACAGCAGCAATCAGCAGTACAGCCTTATATTTTTTCTTTTTCTAAATAAGTATTTATTTTCCTTTCTCAATTTACTGCATATATAAATATATATATGTAAGCATAGTATATATGTATATGTATATATTTGTGTCCATCACGTCAACGCTGATTAGTTGCTTTTTTATGAACGACGCGCCAAGTGCAGGGGCTAGAGCAGCGGCTAGAGCTAATTGCTCTAATTTCTAGCTAAGCAGACGCTGCTCTGCAGTTCGCCTTCAAGTTGCCCGTTTGACATTTTTTATGTCGAGCTCTGCCATAAATATTGGCTGTGGCATCGTTAAAAAGGATCGCTGCAGATCGCTTGAGATCAGCGCGCGCAGCTTGCGCCGCCGATGCTTATCAAGCTGAGCTCCTCCTCAGTCGCCCCTTTGTCCGAATTTGTCTTCATTTTTGGGTTTGTCTTCTGCTTCTTCTTCTTGTTTTTGGCGGCCCTTTTACCCGAACAATAGCTCTTTTAGCATTTCGATTTGACTGTGCTTAGCGGTATCAAGAAGAAGAAATGCGCCAAGCCAAAGATTTATTGGACTCGATGCTCTACATTTTCAAAGAACGATCGCACTTGACTTGATGTCCTTTGCTTAAGGCATTCAGAATGCAGTTGATCTCGTTCTCTAAATGAAGAAATTTCGTTTTTATATAGTTATATGCTTAACTTCTGTTTGCTCCACATAAAAATGTATTTATAAGCCCAGTGTCAAGAGCATCCCAGCTTCGTCTAGGGCCGATCTTAAAGCTAACGCTGTGATTTTTGCGTATCTCGTTCGTTGGGCAGAGTTACCCAAGCACAGTGATCGATATGCGAAGATCAGAAGAATTGCGATCTCCAGCGCAGATCGCCATTGGCTGAGGCTGGGCATCGTTTGGGGTTGAGCATGTTCGATCAGCAAATTATTATGTATCTGGAAACGATTAACAGACGCATTTCAATTTTATTGCGCCAGATCATTATCGTAGCCAGATCGAACCTTTTGCGTAGCCAGAAAACAAGCTGAGACCAAAAGCTGAACAAGCAAACGGTTAGATTCATGATATAAGCCCAGCAGCCGTAGTGGCAGCCGGAGCATCAAAGCCAGCGCCGATTAACGTGAAGGCGCGAAGAGAAACTTTGGCTTTCGCTTGGCTCGGCGACGATTTCACCCAGTGCCACACTTACAACTGGCCAAAAGAGAACGCCAGACGTGCCATTGCGGGTGGCTTTGGTAATTAGACAACAAGTGTCTAAAGAGCGCGTTGCGGCCAGTTCAAACGCTGAGATGAGGTACGGCAAGACCCACTAATGAGGAGCCAACAACCAACACACAGACACACAGATGGCCGCAACAACAAGATGACGCTGGCCAGCTTCCCACTTGTGCAGCTCATCTTAATGCGCGCAGCTGATCCGAGCTGAGGAGGTGTTAAAATCGTTGCCGCCTTTGGGCAATTGAGCGCTCGACTGCGTAGGATCGCAGTCAGGCATTGTGCAAATATATTAATCATAAGAAAATCGTCGGCTAAACGAGCTCTTTCTTTAAGTTGGCCGCTAATTTTCATACGGTTTGCTTTATCAATTAGGCAGCCATTGATCAGTGATGGGCCTCTGGCTCAGCACTTAGCTGCTTCGGCTTTGCTCGCGCTAGCCTCCAATCGATTGTCAAATAATTTCGGTTTGTTCACTTTTTTTTGGTTTTGGTTTTGATCGCACCGCCGCCAGCACCAAGCCAAATATGACGATGGGCAGGCACTTCGGAAGCGGCTTCTGTGGCCCGGCAAGCAAATCAATTTAATTTGTTTATCCAGCGGCTGCGCTTGGTAATGGACAGCTAAGTGGCCAAACAGTTGTTTGACCAAAATGCCGAGCTATTTGCTTATTTACCGCTCACATTTCGGCTGACAAATTGTTGAGCCCAAAGCTAGCCGAGCTGCGCTGCTTAAGATATTCTCAAATCGAAATTCTTCCGTCTCGTTCATAATTGGCTCAGGCAATCACAGCAAAGGGTGCGGATGCATGCATTCAAATGTTTACGTATACAATACAACTTCATCATATCGTAATCCCGACTTCACAGCATAAGCATTGTGATGGCACTTGGAATATGCTTCTCCGCCCACGAGAGGGCTGCTTAAATTGGTTTACAGCAACAAAAGCCGAGGGTTAGCAGCACAATTTGAGGGTTAACGTCAACCACCCGTAGCCGCAGGCAAAGTCAAGCCAAAGGCAAGTTTGTTTATGCCTTCGTTCCACCCTTCAGCAGTGGCGCTCCCATGATTATGATGCCATGATATATGGCATACAAAGCGAGTATATGTGATTTTGATGCTGACGATAACGAGGCCCTGGCTTGATCTACTTAATAACCCCTACATTCTCCCACAGCGCCAGTCTTATAATTTGCCATTTAGCCAGGGCAACTGCCCGCCTCTCCAGTTCCGACCAGCCGCACCCCACCTCCCGCCGCCCACCTTGGTGGTTGCATGCCCATCATCCTGTTGGCTGTCTCGACTGGGCTGGGCTGGGTTCCGCTGTCAGCGCATATTAATCCAATTATCATGCAGTGTGCATGGAATCACTTAATCGTTTCAAATCCGGAAGGCAACGCCAATGACGCACGCCGTTGGCTTATGGGTAGACCCAAAAATTATTACAGTTACGCATAGTTAGCATAGCTATAGTTATGATAGCTCTGGCACTGATGCCTCTGCTCGCGATGGGGGTAGCTTCGTGAATACGGGCTGCTTAACTAGTCACAAATCTGTTTCAATCAAGAATTCAAGAATTTTGAATGATCAGTTTTAATAAAGTTTACAGTTGTTAAAATGTGAGAGCTGAGATTTTATTTATAAAATTAAAATAGTTTAAAGGTTGATTAACAGTTGATCAAATCAGGCAGTGACTCAGACTAAAAAAGAACATTCGATATATCTATGCAAGATTTCTCAGGCCAACTAGAGACTTGAAGCATGTTTATGAGATATTTTCATATCATATCAATTTTATATCAATTTTTTAGAAAACTAAATCTGCAAGTGAAGTACTCTGTATTTATAGCTAAAATCTCTAAACTTGGCATGTGCTGCCTGCACTACTGATCAAGCCACAAATTTCATGTTTAGCTGAGGGAAAGCTAAGCTGCCACGACTCTAGATGGGAGTCTTAAATAATAAT